AGGTTCAGGATGAATATAAATCAGCAGAACGGCATTTTAGAAGGTATTAGATACATGCAACCCTTACTTTAAAGCTTTAAACAGATATACCTTGGCTTTAATGCCTTAAACAGTATTAAAATCACTTCCTTTATAATACTTCTATCACCCACAATTGGCAGCTTCTAGAAAAGGTGCCTACACAAAAGGTTTTTGCTAGGAGCATGTTTGTGCTAATGGCCTATTACCCCACGTATATTGTGTTTTGGTTTCTTTTGCACTGAAGTGAACAATAAACAGGTTTGGTCTGTATCATTGGGGTGAAGGGAGACAAATGTATTTAAGTGAATATGTAATTGGCTTTTTATCTAAAGTGGTATTTAAAAAGAATAGAAACACTGCTTGTATATACAGTACACACTTTGCTTTCTGGAGTTTGAGTTGTTAAATCTTATGCTTTATTGAAACCACAACATCTCCAATGCCAGTTTATAGGATTTGGAAGGATTTTTTTATTCATTAAACAACAAAATGGCTAAATTGATAATTTAGTCTGACAACAGCAGCACAGTTGAAGCTTTCAGAAGAATCAGTTAAATGTATAAAATTATACCCAGCAATCACTACAGACCTTCATTTTTTGACAAGATTTGTTCTCAGTACAGATGACTGTAAACTACCTACTGCTGAGAAAATTATAAGAAGCTGCTGCATATTATGTTGAAAAAGCCTTTAAAATACTTTGTCTGTACAAGCTAAACCTTACCAGTCCCCACTGTTTTTCACAATCTTCCTTCTCGCTGACCACTTACTTTTACTTCTATTTTCCTTACAGCAATTAAGCACACTGATGGGGGGGGAAGGGGGGTGTTTTTCTGAGAATAAGTTTTTAAGCATTTAGGGAAGAAAAATGTGCGTGAAATAAACCAGAAAATGTATTAAGCAAGATGAAAGTGTAATTATAAAAGTCAACTTTCAGCCTCAGTCACTGCTTCTCCAGAGCCCAGGCAGTTTTGATTCAGCTCCAGTAGCAGAGGATAAGAGACACTGCATGTTAGGCTAGCAGTTGGTAGAGGGTCTTTCTACAATTGAAAAGTCATGATTTGATTGTTTGCATGTCACCAGGTGGGCTAGAAAACAGCGATGTAAGAACTGTATTTTAGTTTTTGCTTAAGATGTCAGTTTACTTTGATTTAGGAGTCATAGGGAGAGGATATAGTAAAAAAAGATGATGCTGGTGAAAGTGGTTTTGGCTGACAGATTAGACCAAGTTGAACAATGGTCATTAGTGGAACTTTTCCTCATAAGCAGACAGAACACCGTCACAAGCAGCAATGGAAACAAAAAACAAAGGGAAATGATTATAAAGAAAATGAAGAGGTAGGTTCAGGGTTCAATCAAATAGATCAATAAAGCTCCCAAGGCAGGCTCAGAACATTGCCTTTCATAGTTTAGGATTATTAAATGTTTGTTACATATTTTAATTTCCAATTTATTTTAACTATGCAAAATGGAATACTGCACACTTCTATGTATTCCAGGTTTTTTTTCCTTGAGCCTACTCCCCAGTTCAGCCTAATTATTTCTGTATCCTATATGCATTACTTTTATAAAGGTGTGTGAAATACATAAATATCCCAGAGCTCTCACACACATACATATATGTGAGCCACTTTTCCTTCACTTACGCTTCTCAAGCCATACCCTTCATTTATTCTTCATACACAGCTGAATAGTGGCACGTTGTGGTATCAGGAGACTCCTATTAAATTTCTAATACTAAAAGAAGTTGGTTGCTTTCAATTCTACTGCAAAAGTCTTCACTGGCTTATTAACTGTTCTCAGTTTGTTTCTCCCTCACTTCTATGGCTGACTTGAGTTTATGAAAGCAACCGTCTACTGGACATTTTGAAAATGCTCTCCTTTTCCCAGATTAAGCTAATGCTACTAGTAATATTTTGCTTATATAGCTCTTGTCACCTGAAGAGCCCAATACGCTTTACAAAAGCAGTGTAAGTATTATCCCCATTTGACAGATGGGGGCACATGAGGCACCAAGAAGTTAAGTGACTTGACTCGGGTCACAGCAAGTCAAGGACAAGAAGAAAAGTGTTCTTCGAGACATACTGTCCAGATACAATTTGAATTGTGAGGGAACTTTGTGTGTGCTCATGTCCAAGGCCTCCTCTTAGCTAATGAAAGGACCGTGGCATGAGCACACACAATTTCCTCCTCAGTGATAATGTGCATCTGCACAATTGCTCAAAGGAGAACCCATGGTTTTTTTTAAGTCCCACCCCTGCTCTGACTCCTAGATGAGGTCCCCAAGCAATGGTCTGTGGAGAACTGGCAAATAGCTCGTCTAGTTTCTCACCGAAAGATACAGTGCAGTTTGGAGGGGGGGTGGTGATGAAATGAAGAACTAAAGACAGAATGATTAATTATTTTTCCTAACAGGACAAAATACTTATTGCACTGGAAAGAATACATAAATATAAATGATTGCCTAATATTACTTTCTGTGTAAGCAAGTGCTATAGTGACTGCAGGGGGGTTGTGTGGCCAAATGGGAGTGGGGAAATGATTGTGTGATCACAAATGGGAGGTCAGGTGGTCCACAAGAAAAAAATTCTCAGTTATGATGTAGACCTGCACTGGGATTTTCTCCTTTGCTCCCTAATGAATTAGAAAGACAACAATGACCATTAGTGTTCTTCAGGCTATAGATCACTGAAAGTAAAATTTAGGGAGCAATCTTACTTGTAAACTGAGTTTGTGTTCAAACAAAAGCCGCATTATAATAATGCACACTCTCTCTCAGACTGCCACGTTTGAAACATCAGATGTCAGAGTTAAAAATCCATCTCTAAATCCATCCGCTGTGCAGTCTACTCAGAGCTGCAAATAGAGGAATTACCTACTGTGCTATAAAACTTCCCTCCCCATTCCCAGGAAGATCACTGTGGAAGCTGCAGAATGGAGAGGGAGTGGGAAGAGCAAAGGACATAATTTACACTGTGCACAAGTAAACTATATTAACGTGCCCTTTGCTTTGTGTGTATGACATTCTTAAGTGTAAAAGGCAGCATATGAGACAGTACTTTATAAATACTGGCTATTTTTCCAGTGAGCTATAGTGCCAGAAAGAAAAGAATATATTTAGCCAATTTGTTAAATCCCATCCTCCGAGCAGATGTAATATAATTAAACTGTCTGGACTATGATCACCTATGGACCACTGATGAAACAATCTTATGGCTTTAAAGTGTAGGTCCAGATTGTCCTGTTACTGACAATGGTTTTCCCTCCCACTGTCAGCAAGCATGTGAAGATGATTCATTTGCCATTACTGACAGGCCAAACCTGTTTGAGGCTGTCATGAACAGCATAAGCAGCACCTGGTAAAATGTGGCATCTCCTGCTTTCTATAAGGATATTCAAATGTTTTGTCCCAGCAACAAATGCATTCAATTTTTTTTCAGTACAGTACCTGTTAGGATTGGTTGCCGGTGACATATCACCTTCAAAATATCAGCTTTCTCTAATGTAAGAAGACCCTATAAGTGAAGCTGCTCTTAGTGCTTTCTAAACTCACTGTTTTCCAAAGAACTATTTAAGACACAGGCAACTCTCCATGGAAGTTTAGGGTTAAGTCTTGAGGCTAAAAACAAACTAAAGCAATCCCAAATTCTAAGAACTGTGATTTTAAAAAAAGCTCTCTGCACAAGAGCAGGTGTCACTTTTTTCCAAATTAAAACAACCTCAGAAAATATATTTATAAACATATATTACAAGATACCCAAAGGCACTGGGTTCCATTACGGCCTAATTTCCAGTTTAATTAAAAATTGAACTAATTTTGAATGCCAAAGGAGCTAAAAGCAGCACCCAAAAAGCATTAGTTTTTGCACATTTTAAAACATGTCCATAAACAGCCAAACTTATTTCTCAACATTTTTGTAGGAAAATAAAAGTGCTCTTTGAGGAAACTTATGCAATTAAACAGCTGAGGCTTAACCCCTGAAAAATAGAGGCTTATACAGAAGTGCTGATAGACCCTTAACCATAGTATCATTAGCAGTGGTTCCTGCTAGAATTATTATTTTTTTTAAATAGTTTTAATGCAAATAGTATTTTTAAGCTCTAAGTGTAGCATAATGTTGGGATTTGCTCTTTAATTTTTTTTCTTTTTTTACTAGAAAGATACAGCTCATTTAAAATAGCTGGTAAATACAGAAAGCATAAATATACAGTAAGTTTAGACACTGATTGTACTAAATGCAACAATACAAAGAAGCAAACAAGAACACAAATGGTAACACAATAAAACTGTATTACATTTGTGCTTCAAATATTACAATACATTATATACAATAGTCCAAAATAAACATCTCATGCCAAGTGACACAAAAAGAAAAAAAAAACAATAGCAAGCAAAAAATCCAGCAGTATATACAGTACCTTTTTAATAAACATTCAACTCTGAACTGGAGCAATTTTCACTACATACATACGCAGTCCGCCTTTTATTCCACGCAACCATCCTGTTTCTCTATATCTATGCTATTCAGTAGGTTCCTGTGTCATTTCTTATATACATGTTGGGCAAAAAAGATAAAAGAACATAGTGCTTTATATTCTTAACGATGTGGCATCAGATCAGCGAACCTGGGGTGCATAACCTTCTTTCATTAAGCCTTCCTCATAGTCTGTCTGGCACAGAATCATGTTGTTCTTTAGGAAAAATTTGTCTCCAACGCAAAATCTGAAAAAAAAAAAAAGAGAGAGGGAGGAAAAGGTTGTATTTAGAATAAACTGTTGTGATATTAAAGCCAAAGGCTGTACCACAAGTAGGCACAATTGCATTGTAGGAACAATGCAGCTTGCATCTGTTGTCTGTGTTGTAGTGTTTTGGGAAAAAAACATACTGAAAAGCCCCACTATGAAATTGTTGTTATCAGAATGTATTGCACGCCTTCCACAAAATTCAGTTCACACAAGTGATTTTACTCCCCTAGCCAAGGACTTCATCCAAAATCCACTGAAGACCATGGGAGTCTTGGATAGCAGCTGCATAGATAAAACAGAATAATATCCAAGTCCGGTGAGTTGAATGAAAAGCAATTGTAGTTCTGCCACACAAATCAGAGAGGGGCAAAAAGTGATCATAGGCTTCCGAATGCTTAATTATTTAACATTATTTATAAATATTATACAAATAATATCTTTAATATCTCATAAAATAATACATGTTATAAAGATCAAACACTGTATACCAGTTGACTGTTCTATCAGTCCATCTATGTCTGTGTTTGGATGGGGGGGGGGGGGGGGCGCGGCCGCCCCCCCACACC